CGTGTGTGTGTGGCTGTGTCCGCCGTTGAGTCCTGCTCCCCGGGGCGTGGGGCTTCTTGGTCACCTGCAGCCAGTCAGCGAACTGATGGAGTTTGATTGGCTACTTTTCGCAAGACAAGCGTTTCACACGACGACCTCGGTGCTGCCGGAACCAATTAAACCATTTAACCGGGACATCCGCTGTACTAACTTCGTCTCATCTGCCACAAATGCACCGACCCAGCCCTGCCGTAGCGGTCTGGCACCTGGTTAGCCTGCATATTAGCACTCACAGTTAATGCAGACCTGTTGAAACGCCCTCGCATCCCGTCTAAACAGGATTCGCCGCATGCCGTTGCATCGTCACCGTATAAAGCACAAGTTTAGCTTACGGATCTACGATGTGTGTGCGAGCTATCAATCAAACATGCATATGACCAGTAGGTGCTAGGTGTGCACCTAGACGGACTTTTCACAGGTTCCTTAGGTCGCGTGCGTGTCGTGTGTCGCTTTGTTCTTTTGTGTGTGTGTGTGTGTGTGTGTGTGTGTGTACGCGTGTATGCAGTTTTGCTGTTCTGGTAAGCTCTGGCTTTTACTTGCTTCACTGGCATTCTGACGTGTGTTTTCGATCCGAACAAATGACCTAAGTAAGGCTGTTGTAGTCTTGATTACCGTTCAGCCTAAGGTCAAAATATTTCAGTTTCATCAGGATGCCGACTTTTGGCGGATTTTCTCACAGACTACGCACAAAAAGTGCCCCCTATAAACATGGTTAATAACTTAGTATTTACTTTTTGCTTATAAAGTTCCACTGCCTTTATAAATTCAAGCGCATTTTGTATAAAATATGCACAAGTATATTTTTTCCTGTACTCGTTTAGTAGTAAATTACCCCTGCTTCTAAGTGGACGTTTGAGAAATTTCTGAATTTCTCGATAATGTTTAACGCCACCGACGGTTATAATCTTAGCTACCACTGCTTGAGGACCATCCTTCGAGTAAAGTTCACCGACTTCCTCTCAAATGAGACAATCCGCACTCGCTGCGACAACAGTGAAAGCATATCGCAGGCAATCCAAGAAAAACGACTGAGGTGGTTTAAACACGCTCTCCGACGTCAACTTCACGAGCTTAGTCTTAAGGTCCTCGATCCGAAACCGTTACCTTATATGGGAAACGCTAAAGTGGGGGTCAACTCAAAACCTGGCTCGACTCAGTCCATCAGGACATGGAAGTGATTCTTGGGCCTTCGGTCTCCGGCTCGAACTGTCCACGTCTTATGTCACGGATCATCGCGCGTGGAAAAGCACCCTATGAGACATCATCGAGGCCGGCTAGATCGTTCATGATCGCAGCCGCAACAAGTACAAGTAAGTGCTGTGCCAAACCCAAAGGTCGGCCATTCACATAAAAAGGCAACGAATCGCAGTAGTATACTTCGCTTCTCATTTTTACGACCAAAACCTAACCAAAAATGTCAAGTACGCTGCCTGTTTTGCCATCTAAGTCCAGGTTTGTCATCGAGAAGCCTAATCTCCCCGCCTACCGTTTATCTTGTCTACCTAAAACGTTTTTAAAGCGTTTAGGGGATTGTTTTATTTGGATAACATGGTCTTGGTCATTCTAGTAAAAAGGGAGTTTAACTACGAGGAGCAATATAGGAGGAAGAATCTGAGGAAGAATCCGCGACGGATGTCGAAACGTCAGGCAAATAAAAGCGTTGTCCCCGCAATCGAATTTTATTCTTCTCACACAGTTAGGAAGTAAACAGTGTGATAGATCCCTAATATGCAGACATACAACAAGGAAACCATATGCACACCTACCTCCGATTCCTGTACCCGGTCCACTTTTTGCACCTGAGAGTTTGCCGACCCTGTACTTGGAATAATAATATTCATAGCTGCCGAAGGATCTGCAGGGATGGTGGCTGACCAGAGAACGTTCCACTGCGGCTTTTGTGAATGATGATGGTGATGGTGGTGACGTCGTCTCTGTCCACTGTCCGATCGAGCAACGACCAACTGAAGCGGCGATTGGCTCCTTTTCCGCTCTGCAGTTACCGGGGGCTCATCGGCAGGTGCTGAGGGATCTGGCGATCCGTTCAGCCAGGCCTTGCAAATTTCAATGGCGAGATGATGCAGGTTCGGGGCCGGCTGCGACGGCGGTGTCTGATCAC